AGAATTTCACGGGACATAGTAAAACCGGGACATGGACATTCGGTCGAAAATTTTAATTGGTATCTCAGTATTTCAATAATTCCCTGCAACGCGCATTGTCGTGCTCTTACAAATGGCTGACAATCGCCGTCGGGTCAAACACGTCCGGCCAGAAACAGGATTAACGCGTATATATTACGCGGGGTTCGTGAAATACCAGACAGATCAAGCAGAACGAAACGAAACTTCGCATGTGGCGAAGCTCGGATGAAAAGTTCGCTGGATGGAAGCCATTAAACAACGGATGCACGGAATAGGCGGTGGATTACGTGTGCGCGATTCTTGCGCATCGGGATACCGTTACCGAAGATAAACGTCGGTTTAATGGAATATTTGCCCCTACGTCCGTCATAAAGGAACTATGCATTCTTTTTCAAGCGCGCAAACGCGTCTCCGCATTTTCATTCCGCTTCTTTCCTCGTCCTTCGCGCAATCGTTCGAATTCCTCGCTTTACTCTATAACCCGATGCTCTTCAGTTCGAAAAACGACATAATAAAATAAATACGCGACATCGCAACTTATTCTCGAAAACTCGAAACTCGATACTCGGACTTAATTGTCTCGCCTGGACTTCGAAGGAAGAATCTTGGGAAAGATTCGGTTTCCTCATTGACAGCCGCGTCCGGAGGGTCGTGGCATTTAGGGATGACTAGCGCGCGCAAATTCGTCAACGCGGGGACGAGTTTAAAAATAAGACGTAGCCTGGGAAACGTGGCCGCGCTATTGGCATTTCTGCTCATTAAGATAATTGAGTGGGCTCGAGGCCTCGCCGCGATAACTCATTCAGAAACGTGGCTTTCCCTCGGAAGAAGTAAATACAAAGAGAACGAAACTGCTACATGAGTTCGCTAAATGAGTCCCACGAGTAACAAAACTTCGTTGTTCCCGTTAGCCGTTTGATCCTATTCTTGTTACACGTTTGCTACGGGCGTGATTACGAAAGAAAAAGAATCTTGCTTCAAGTATTATTTCAATGACTGGCAAAGAGTTATCACTGTAAAAATGTTGCACACACAATTACGAAAGTTTCTTTACGAAAGCTCTTCCTTATTCGTGTGACACGGTGTTGCATTATACTATAAATATCTCTTTTTCATCTCGACGTTGAATAATATCTAAACAAAATAACGTCTGATTTTATTGTATCAACTTTCGTCGCAATGCCAAGACATCGATCAACACGCAGATTTAATTAATTTCAAGCGGAACGCAAGTTGAATCGCTTCTAACTCGATCTCTTACATAAAATCCAGAATCATTAATCTCCGCGGAGAACAAAGAAATGAATACCAGCTGCGTGTTCTTTGCGCCAGGCGTTAGTAATTACAAAGATCGATCACTCGTTCGCTTAATCGTTCGCGAAGAACCTGTTCCGTTTCGCGAGCCGCGTATCATTCCCGCGCTTTGTCGAAAACGTTATTATGAATTTACGTTCGCCGGAAGCAGAAGAAGCTCTCTGTTCGCCGAATCGGCGAGAGCGGACAGAGCGGACGTGGAAAAGAAAAATTGCGGCGAATGTCGTGGAACGGACGGCGGGACCGTAAAACAAACGTTTCGACGATGCGCTTTTCTCTCCTTCTAATTTTATCTGTTCGCCGCCTCCCCCTCCGTGGCTGCTTAGCCGTGTATTTTCGTAACACGTGTCACCTACGTATAGGCACCTTATCTCCGTGGTTAACGAACACACGAGTGTGCTCGGCGATCTTTCCAAACACGTGTACGAGCTCATACCTCTTGTTTTCGCTTCTAATGCTTCGATTGTACACGGCCCTCTCTCAAAGGCGAGTTCGCGCCTCGTGCCGGAACAAGTGAAATCAAATTGTCAACTGTTTAGGAAATTACTCGTAAATCACTCGATTTTCCTCCGCTACGTTTATTCGAGACTTGCTTTGCAGTTTTTTTTTTTTTTTTGGAATATTTCTTTGGAAACAGGTTTCAGAATGTTTCAGAAGATGAAAAGCTAGGAGAGGAGTTTCTCCTTCTTCAAAAATTGTGAATGCGAATTCAACGAACGTGCGTTGGAAAGTATTAGAGAATTTCCCTTCGAAAACGAAGTCTCCAAAATTCGTTCTTCTTTGAGAACGATACTTTTCCATTATTTTATGATACATTGAATATCAAGGTTAGAAGTCCTAACGTCACGATCGTAATGATCAAAGTTCAATGAAATGGTGAAATCTCTCTCTTCAAGGCCATAGTAATGGATTCAGTTACGAACGAAATTTTCTTTTACACACGAACTTTGAATTCCTATAATTTCCGAGGAACAAGTAGAGTCTTTACTTTTTGAAATGAGAGACAAATCATGAGGCGAATCATCGTACGACCTTTCTTCACGACGTTACGCCACTCGAAATTATCGACAATTCTTCATTGTCTCACGTACAATTATGCTGTCCGGTGTAGAAACAACGCAAGAGAAGACTAATTTTGTTTCATAGACCGAGTTAATGATCCCTATCCTGTCCATAGTTGAGAAGAAGAAAAATAAGAAGAAGAAGAAAAAGAAGAAGAAAGAAAACGAAATGCAGCCGAGACTCGCGGGAATCGCGAAAGGATTCATACGTGTCGATTGATTGGCGCATTCCGTTTTAAACGTTGTGGCGTTTCCTCTCGCGCCGCTAATCGTCGCTTCGATTTCCTCCGGCGACATAACAGCCGGCCATGTTTTTCCCTGATAATGAACTGCAGGTAATCCCAGGCTGCGGCTGTCGAGTGACTCGCTCTTTGACTGCTGCCGACCAGCTGTAGAAAGTTAAAAAGTTGATTTTTCGCCAACGATGCGAAGAACGAAGTAAAATCGCGATCTTTGAAGCGCAACGGGCCCGCTTGAAGAAATCGTGAAGGTAGTTTGTAAAAAAAAAAAAAGAAGAGAGGAAGAAAAGACGATAAAAGACAGCGAAAGATAAATCATCGAAGCGAATTATTACGAGGACTGAAATTCGCTGGGATGTTTCGAATTTATCCTATCCGATGGATTCGATAAATGCCTATCGGATACTGACGCCGCGGTAATTAACCCTTCGGCAGCCTGAAAGTTTCGAACGTCAAAACGCTGTTATTCCACCGCGAGTCGTTTTACACGTCGTCGTGAGAACATTCCTCTCGTTCGTTCTACGACAAGGTATCTCTCATTGCGTTACAGAAGTATGATGCACCGCCTTTACGAAGATCGAACGACGAACCAACTTTTCTCTATATTTTACATCTTACTTTCCAATATTTTCAACTTCTGGATCTTTCGTCTGAGTGCAGTGGAACTTCATTTTATTGGAGGACAAATTTTATTGGTTTGTACGATCTCATCAGAAAGGTGCTGTAAATAAATCAGAGTGGTTCGATTTGAATCTGACTGTAAGAAAATAAATTAAGATCTCGTATTAAAGAAAACAGTCTTTCGATATATGTTTAGTCGATAATTTATCAGACGTTTTCTTGAAATTTAAATTTGATAAATTTCGTGCTTGGTTCCCTCTGAAACTGAAGCCTTGAAATTTCAATTTCCAATTTATTCCCAACTTGTTTAATCCAGTTTGATTGTATCGCTGTATAATTCATATAATAAGTAGAAGTCCATTGATCCTCCCCTCTACTAGCAATTTTTGATCACTAGTACACCATACAGATCGCGAGTAGAGAACTCCAGGTTCAAATAAATAAATCAACAAGAGTTAATTTAATCGGATGAAATGAAATTCGTACACTGTCACAAAAACGCGACGCTCGCCCCACTTTTGCAGGCAGAATTCATCTGAATTATTTCGAAACACTGAGCTAACGATAAGTTATATACACGAATGTTCACAGTGATATTGAACAGTGACAAGG